TTTGAATCCCCAGAGCCTACGTAAAACCCCAGGTGTGGCAGTGTGTCTCCATAACCCCAGTGAAGTCAGGAGGATCGGGGTGGCAGAGTTGGCAGGGAGCTAGCCAGGCACTCCACACAGCTGTTGAGTTCCAGGTTCAGTGAGAGACCCTGCCTCAAAGCATAAGATGGAGAGTGTGTGAAGACACTATATTCTATCATGCCTTGACCTTTTGAAAAATCGACATTTAAAGGCGGGAGAGATAGATGGTTCACCTGTTAGGGACGTGGGTTCTGCTTTTCCAGAGAATGCAAGTTTGATTCCCAGCACTTACGTCAGTTGCCTCAGGGATCCAGTGCCTCTGAGCTCCCTTGGCATCAGCACTCATGTGCACATACCCCCTATACATACACACACATAATTAAAATAAAATTTAAAGTTATGTTTTAAAGACATCTTACTATGTAGCCCTGGCCTGGGACTTTCTATGTAGACCTGACTGGCCTCAAACTCATGGAGATCTGTCCATCTCTGCCTCCAAAGTACTGAGATTAATGCCACTGCACCCAGCATAAGTTTTATTTTTAAATAATTTCTAAGTTATCCAGGTTGACCTAGAACTCTGTAGCTCAGATTGGCCTTCAGTTCAAGATCCGCTTGCCTCCTCCTGTAGCCACCACCTTGCTGGAGAGAAGATTTGGGGAGCTTCTAGTGGGACAGCTAAGGTTAAATGAGCTCCTGTCATGGGCCTTGTGGTGGTGGGGAAGAATGGGCTAGTGATGTCCTTATAAGAACATGAAGTACACAGGGACGTCTCTCCTACACACCCAGGAAGGCTGAGTGAGGACAGGGAGACGGCAGTCTGCATGTTGGGCAGGAAGCCCTTGATGGAAGCCCGGCTCTCAGAACAATGAGAAAGTAAGTTTTCAGCTGCCCAGGACCCCAGCTACCGTAGTCGAGCGCCGGAGGCTGTGTGTGAAGGAGCACGGCTTTACAAGGCCCTGTACAGCCCACCCTAGAACTGTGTCTTCATTTTTTTCTTTTGTTTGTTTTTAGGGAGCAAAGTCTCACTATGCAGCTCTGACTGCCCTAGAATTTACTCTGTAGACCAGGCTGGCCTTGAAGTCATAGAGAGATCCTCCTGCCTCTGCCTCCTGAGTGCTGGGATTAAAGGTGTGTGCCAGCAGCATATCTGGAAAAATCTTGAAGTGTGACTCAGTGTTTGTCTACCATAAGACTTCCTAATTTCCTTTTTACCTGAGAAACTGACACACGAATCTAGTATAAACACTGGTCGACCATAAACCATAAGGGAATTTCAAAACATTTCTTTGGTATACACATAATTTCACCATTTTCTAAAGATAAAATCAAGTGTGCATGCTAATGAGACGTGGGTGCTTGAAGTTTATATAGCCGGAATGAAATCTTGGCTGAGTTGTTGCTATTGCAGGATACAAAGTATCCTTTGTGTTGTTCAGAGTTACTTTAGCAACATCTGTCCTGAGAACCAGTTTCACACGAATAGGGTTCAAAATGGCAGACGCATGTCTGGCAGTGCTCAGAACTTGCTGGAAATTCTGTCCTAATCCTAAACCAGTATTCATTCAGTTTTTGTTTCATGAAACTGAAATCAGCAATTTAAAAAAGGTTTGTTATTATTTTTAAATTGTGTGTATGTGTGGATATGCACATGTCCACCCAGGTGCTCAGAGGCCAAAGGACCTCAGGTCCCCGGAATAGAATTGTAGATGATCATGAGCCACATGACATGGGAGCTGGGAACCCAACTCAGGCCCCTCAAGGTCTTTTTTTGGGGGGGAGGTGTCAAGACAGAGTTTGTTTATGTATCATTGTCCTGGAACTTGATTTATAGACCAGGCACCTGTCTCTGCCTCCTGAGCTCAAACAAGTCTAAAAATCAGACCACGAAATACAATCCAAAAGCATACTTAGGAATAGATAGTGGGCAAATAATCAGAGTTCTTATTTTCCCTTAATTAAACCACTATGTGTGCAGAAATGCAGAAAGCTTTGTAAGACCAGACAACACTGCCGAGCACACATCTGTGGCATCTGTCTGAGAGACAAGGTACACGCTGCAAATGCTGGGCACTCCGCACCGAGGGTCCTATGAAGTCAGAGAATGTAGCACAGGCTAGTACTGTCAGACATGCCGCAGGTTCATGTTTGATTTGAATTAGTTTTTGTTCTTCGCACATTGAGACAGTTGATGAAAAGTTGGCAACATTTCACTAACCCTTCAATTTGTGAGACTTCAACCTATGGTTTAGGAAGCTGGCTTCCCCAGCTCTAGCTTACCGCGAGCCTGGGTCCATCTTTAGCATTCAAAGGAAAAAGAACCATGCCATCTGGCCCATACACACAATGCCAGCCTTAAGAAAACTAGAATAGCCAGGTGTTGGTGGTGTACACCTTTAATCCCAGCACTCAGGAGGCAGAGGCAGGTGGGTCTCTGTGAGTTCGAGGCCAACCTGGTCTACAAAGTGAGTTCCAGATAGCCAAAGCTACCCGGGGAAACCCTATCTTGAAAAACAAACAAGAAAACTAGAAAGGCTTGGTGTAGTTCCTTGGAAGAATGCTTGCCTAGCATGCACAAGACCCAGTTCAACCCTGGGATTGCAGAGCCAACAGCTGCTGGGGGAGGCTTGGCGCACTGACAAATGTCTGGAGTCCCAGCTAGAGGGGAGGCGGAGGCAGGAGTGTCGCTTGAGCCCAGGAGTTCACAAAAGCCTGGGCGTCCGAATAGAGAGCCCTGTCACTAAGTAATAGAAACCAAGTGTAGTATCATACACTTGCAATCCCAGTTTACAGGAGACTGAGACAGGGGGACTGCTGTGAATGAAGGCCAGCTTGGGCTACTCAAAGACCAAGCCAAACATTCAAAATGACTCTGTAATTAATTCCACCTACTGTACACCTGGGTGTTTTGGGGGCTAGGGGTGCGGGTCACCAGTAGAATGAATACTTAGCATTTAGGAGACCTTGGGTTCCATCTACACACCAGAAGAAACCCCATATTTTAAGTAGTTTAAATTAGGCCATATTTTATTTCTAATGTATATATGGATTTTTACTTGTGCATGTGCGCCCTCTCAGTGCCTGGTGTCCTTGGGGGTCGGAAGAGGGCATTGGGTCTCCTGGATTGGAGTTACAGGTGACTGTGAGCCACCATGTGGGTGTTGGGGACTGGGTGGCCCTGTGCCACTTGGCAGGTGCTCTTGGCTGCTGAGCCATCTCTCCAGTTCCTGTGTTGCAATTTTTAAAAACATACCGATCCCTCTGCCTGCAGGAAGCCTAGAGTGTTTAGACAAAAGAGTACAGTGGAGACAGACCCCTGACTCTCTCTCCAGCTGGGACAGGCGAGGAGAGGCAAGCGAGGGTCTGGCCTTCTGAGATTTCAACCTGGAAGGCATCTGTCACTGGATAGGCAGAATTTCTTGTGGTCCAGTTCTGCTAGAGAGGACACGTGTAGCCTCCTTAGGTCATGAGCTGTATGGGGAATCCCCTGGGGTCTCTGCATCAAGGATGCAGCCTTCCTGTCCGATAAGGGTCTGAGCCCACTGGGTACATGTGGGATGGTTGCTCTTACAACAGTATAACAGTTTGCTTCCCTGAGGGAGCAGGGCTGGGGAGCTGGTGGCATGGAGACCCAGCCCTGGATTTGCTCAGGGTGTTTCAGACCCACATGGGGCAGGGGCTTCTAGAGCCTCCTGTGGCTTTGCAGCCTTTTGCAGTTGCATATCCTCCTGCCTCCGAAGCTAGCATGCTGGAAAGAAAGCTCTGGAAGAGGCGGGTGAGATCTGCCTTGACTACCTGGGAAGTAGAGGTGGGTGAGTGCCCAGGGGGTTTCATCTCCAGTACAGAAGTGGCCCACATATGTCCCAGGCCACTCATGTCTGAGCAGATGAGGGAAGAAGGCGTCTAGATGGTCAGAAGCCTGGTGGTAAGAAGAGAGACAGCCATGGCGGTCACAGAAGAGGCAGGACAGACCTCTAGGGGGTTAGTGACAGACTGCCACCATGGGAAGGTCACATCAGAGGTGGCTGGGAGCAGAAGTTAAAGAACGAAGTAGATGGTATTGGTGAATTTATGGCACAGGATCAGGGAGAATTGTCCTCAGCTTGAGCCTCAAGTAAGAAGCCTGTACCTGAGAATCACAGGAAACCATCCCAGACAGTGCTTGGGGGCTGGGAGCTTCTGGGAGCAGAAGAGGAAAGGTGGGGTTACAGGCCCGCAGGGTGGCACCTGAGGAGTAGAGGGAAGGTGAACTTTGAGATGAGCCTCATCACAGGATCCTTAGGTCTGGTTGGTGACGGATAAAGTGGGACCTCGCACAAAGGTAGACCCGTCATGGGACTTAGGAGGGAGATGGCAGGAACAATAGGTCTGAGGTTCAGTCAACAAACACAATTTCTCATTATGTAGGGCCTGCTCTAAAAGTTGGGTGTGGTGGTCATAAACAAAGCAGTCTAGATCCCCAGATGGGCAGTTTCCTAACCAGATAAACAGTTATATATAAGCACAGTGACAGCAGCCCTGTGGGTTAACCCATGAGCTGATGCTGCATACAGAGGGAAAGGCATGGGAAAGGTGCTCAGGCAGGTCTAGGTGGAGCGGAATGGGGAAAGAAAGGGTCCTTGATAGGACCCCTTTTAAAGTCTCAAAGACTTTAAAATGGATGGATGGAGGAAGAAATAGGGAGGCGGTGTTGAGGGATTCCAGACAGGAAAGAAGAGATTTGGAACATACTGAAATGGAGTGGTTGGGACAGGCTAGCTGACAGGAGGGCCTTTGGGGGTACAGCATGGTGCTTCCTCTGTTGTCAGGTGAGGCTGCAGCAGCTCTGAGAATTGGGGTGTGGACATCACAGGAACAGAGAGTAGGGGAGGAGCTCATGACACCCCTGCTCCCCGCTTCCTCTCCTCAGCGCTCCTCCCACCCCGCCTGCCTGTCTCCATCTCACCCCGAGAGTCCCCTAGAAAGGAAAGAGGGGACTTGGGTGTCCCTGGTCCCCTATCTGTGGCGCCAGCCAGCTGGATTCTAATTAGCTGCCAGAGCAGAGAGACAGGAAGCAGAGGCTAGAGGCGGGGCTGGATTCTTGCCCAAAGCTGAGGCTGAAATCAAGTTGGACACCCCTTGCCCTCCTGGAGGGATGAGGATGCCTGGTGGCGGAGAGGAGTGGGCAGGGCAGGGTTAGGGATGAGGCTGAAGCAGCTTTGGTGTGGGCGGTTGCTTGGCAGCCCTGCTTGACCTATCACGCTGCCCCCAGGGAGAAGAGGTACCAGAGCTGATGAGAGTGACCACAGAACAGGGCAGTGTGCACCCCAGTCCAGAAAGGACCTCACCATTAGCATAAGACAGACTCCCCACTGGGCTTGCTGAGGTCAGTTCCTGCCCAGTGTCACTATGCTGTCCTCCCTCAGGCTGGTGGGCCAGGCTGTGGTACCCTGGTGATGCGGGGCGAGACCCACCCCACAGTCCGCTGAGAGTCCTGCACCCGCCCCTGGCCTTCGCCATGGCCCGCTTGGCTGCAGCACTCTGGAGTCTCTGTGTCACCACTGTCCTCGTCACCTCTGCTACCCAAGGTAGGTGCTGTCGGGGCTGGGGAAGGGCCAGATCTCCAAACCCACGTGGGATGGTGGAAAACATAAATTCTCTGGACCAGCCTCCGCCCCAGATGAAGTTGAACCAGGCCAGAGGGAGCAGGGTGATGTCACCCTTGGCAGGCACCACTGAGGGTGTTGAACCCCCAGCAGGCACTAGGTGCTGTCCTGCTTGGAGACCCCTAGGACTAAGACAGGCTTTCCGGAGGGGGCAGCTATTTCTCTCTCTCCCTCCCCCGTCATCCATCACATCTTCAAGGCTCCCTGGGACCGTGGCTTAATTAAAGCATGCCTGCTGACGTTTATTTAAAAACAACTAATTACCCAGCTTCGGCCTGGGATCCTGCACATGCCACAATTAGTGCCCTAAGCCTGCTGCCCACTGTTGACATTACCTAGTTACCATCTCTGGATTGGGTACAAGCTGTGTGCAGGGCAACAGAAGCCAAGAAGGGGTCTGTTGGCCTGACCCCTTCCTAGAGGGTCTCCCTCCCCACCTCGCCAGCCCTGTCCTCTGGAAAGTCACAGGGATATTGTCAGCCTTGTTCTGAAGCCTTGGCAGTGTCTTGCTGGCCAGTGACACTCCCTAGTGCCCAAATTCTGGGCCCAACCCCTACTAGGCCAGGAGGGGCTGCCTCCACCCCCAGCCCCATGTGAGCCAGCCCTCCACCCCCGGCCTCCCTCCCTGACTAGAAGCTAAAATTAGAGGAGGAAGCAGATGGCACGAGAGGAGCACATGGGAAACTTCTCTCAGCTGGGCTCTGCTCACCCCCAAAACCCAAGGGCCTGGCTGCTATCACCTCTGGGGGCTCTGCCCACGTTAGGTGGGCCCTGTTTGTGAAGAGGGGCCGGCGTGGCTCTGCCACCATAGTACAAACACCTTTCACAGCGCTTAGTTCACCCCAGCTGTGCCTCCCCCAGGTATCTACAGTTTCTGCTTTCCTGCGCCCTGCGTGGCTGGGCTGCAACCAGTATCCCTAGGTGGTTGCCAGGGCAGCCTGGCACATGTCAACCCTGGATCCTGAGAAATACCCATAACAAAAGAATGAGCATCTTCTCAGCACAGTACCTAACCGTAGATTAACCTCTGTGGTAGCAGAGACCAGGGACCTGTTTAGGTTCCTCAGAGCCACCAGCCAGGCCAGGGGGCAGCAGAGTTGGGACTTACTGCTGTACTGTGTGGCTATGATTGTCCCCTCATGTGAAGCTGTCTGGCATGGTCCAGCATGCTCCGAAACCCTGAGTGTGCTGCCACCCCTGGGGATGGAGTGGGACATCAGGAGTTCAAAGCTAGCCTTGACTACTTAGACTTTGAGGCCACCTGGCTATGTGTGAGACTGTTTTAAAAAAAAATCAAAGAAAAGTTCTTTGGTTTAAAATTCCTGTTGTCTGGTCCTGACCTGTGGGTGTGTGCCCATTTTACAGCTTGAGAAAACAAGGCCTGAGGAAGCTACTACTAGTGGCTATCTGAACTTAAGCATGCAAAAGTTAGGCATGGTGATACATGCTTGTAATCTCAGAATTTGGGGGAGGCTGATGCGCGAGGACCCGAAGTTTCCAGCCAGGCTGGGCTACGCAGAAAGACCCTATTCCCAGTAACTCGGCAAACAAAGCAGGCAGAGACAGCTCCGTGGGAGAGTGGTTGCAGGGATCCAGTCCGCTCCTTGGGTGGGGGGTGGAGGCAAGAGGTCCCAGTCACTCTCTCTGTGACTGCTGCTAACTTGGTAATTCACTCAGAGGTCTAGCAGCACCCACAGAAGCTTCTGTGCTGGGGGACAGCTTTTTGCGAAGACAGATTCAACCCAGTCTGGTGAAGGGGTTTGACATGGAGGAGGAAAGTTCCATGCAGTTCTGCTATGACAACGTGTCCTGGTGTCCCAGTCTCAGTAGAAATCCTATCACAGACTTGGTCAATGGCCTTCACGGCAGCCATCTGCCCCACCAGAGGCCCCACCCTAAGTCCTGTCATCAGGGACTTGTCAGGAGAACAAAGACCCACCATCATGGCTTCAGCCCAACTGGCTCCTGCTGAGGTCTCCTCCTGCTGTGGTGCCCCTCCCCCGTGTCTGCACACAGCCTTCCCTGGGTGACGCATGTGTCAGATCGCCTCTCTCAGTGCGGAGTGACAGCACAGCCCCATGTCCTAGCTGTGCAGGAGGTAGGAGGACCACAGTTCCAAGGGCAGACTAAACAGGTCAGTGAGGTCCCATCTCAGAATAAAAGGCATGGCATAACGCTTGCTGAGGGGTGCGAGCTTCAGCTCCATTACTAGTATTGCAACAGTAATAAAATATACCCAAACCCTCCTTTTTGTTAGAACCCTTGTCAGACTGCATTGGGGTCCACTTTGACAGCCCCGTTTTAAATTTATCTCTCCTATTTAAAAAAAAAAAAAAAAAAAGGTCGTCTCCAAGCCAGATGTGGCAAAAAGGTCATCTCCAAGCCAGATGTGGCAGTGCCCACCTGGCATCCCAGCATTTGTGACTAGTGCAGGGAAGAAGATCATTGTAGTCTTGTGGCCAGCCTGGTTCACAGTGAGTTCTGAACTAGTGAGTTCAGAGACAGTGTCGGCTACTTTGAGACCTTCAGAAGGAGAAATCTATGTGTGTGCACATGCACGCACACGCTAATTATGGTAGCATGTGACTATAGTTCTAGGGAAGTAGCAGGGAAATAGTTCAAGGCTATGTTGCAAGTTTGAGGCTAACCTAGACCACATGAGACCCTGACCTAGCTGGGGGTTAGGAGAGAAAAAGGCTCAGAAAACACTGTCTCCAAGTACAGTTACTTTCTGAGGTCTGAGGGCTTAGTTCTTCAATTCAGCATAAGATTTTGGGAGACAGGACCAGTACGATAGCTCACGTGAGCTAAGGTGTTTGCCACCAAGCCTGGCCTGAGTTCAGTCCTCAGTACCATTGGTAAAAGGTAAACGTGACCTCCACACCACCCTCAAATATATACATAAAATAAATGTCAAAAGTTGTTTTGCCAGGATTTGGGGACACACAGTCGTAACTGGCCCACGATGTCCAGGATGGTGTTGACTCTTACCAGGCAAGGCATTTATTACAGGGTGAAGAAGGGTCAGCTCTCTGGGCCAGGTTACCCCTTCCTCAACTGCCACTTTACAGCCTAAGATTTCTAGAACCAGCGTCCCAACCCAGCTAAGCCAGCAGGTTCTTTCTTCCCTGGTGACTGTGACATCGTCCCCAACTGTCCTGCAGGCCTGAGTCGGGCCGGGCTCCCGTTCGGATTGATGCGCCGGGAGTTAGCATGCGAAGGTTATCCCATCGAGCTGCGGTGCCCAGGCAGTGACGTCATCATGGTGGAGAATGCTAACTACGGGCGCACAGATGACAAGATCTGCGACGCTGACCCTTTCCAGATGGAGAATGTGCAGTGCTACCTGCCCGACGCCTTCAAGATCATGTCCCAGAGGTGAGCCTGCTCTCCGTGTGCCCCAACTCAGCCCCGTAGACCAGTGGTTCTCAACCTTCCTGATGTTACTGCTCTTTAATGCAGTTCCTCATGTGGTGACCCCAACCATAAAATTACTTTGTTGCTACTTCATAGCTGGAATTTTGCTGTTATGAATTGTAATGTAAATATCTGATATACATGCCCCCTTATGGGGTCACGACCCACAGGTTGAAAACCACTGCCATAGATGCTTGCTCATCCATCCTTCCACCTCCAAAAACTTATTCCAAGACCTGTTGGTGGCAGGTGGAAGCTTGCAGAATCAAAAGCAAAGGCATGCTTCCCCAAAGAGAAAGATTGCTACTCCTAACTTACTGAAGTGTGCGTATGTGTCTGGGGCAGGGTGCTTTCGTGTGCAAATTGTCCTTGTGCTTGTGGCGGGGCTATAACTGTACAAAGGGTGATTTTATGTCTTGAGTATGTGTGTGCAAATGTAAAGCTTGTGTTTGTGTCTCTGAGCAGGTGTGGGTGTAAATGAGGGCGTGCTGGTGTGACTGAGGAGGTATCCCAGGCTGGGGTAGCCCACGTATGAAGCTGTACAGCCTGCTTGAATAAATCAGCCCATTTAGAGCTTTTAGTTTCTCTGCAAGCAACTGCCCCTGGGACAGGGCTCCTGCCTGCCTTCCTTGCCACTGTCTTATCTGATATAGTCCATTCTTCCTACGTGGCGGGCATCAGCGGACACCTGAGTCAGATCCTATCCCTCTGCCTGAACATTCTCAAGTTCCCACCTCCTTCTACAAAATCCAAAGCCTTCCTGAGGCTAAACGAGCCCTGTGTGACCCGCCTTGACCGCTGACCCACCTTTCCTATGCACTCTGAGTTCTAGCAGTGCAAGGCTGCTCACTGTAGAGTGCTGCCTACATTCAGTCCTCAGTACCGCAAAATAAACAAACTTGACCATGCATCAGAATCTGCATCCCTGTAGCCCATAGACTCCTAGCCTCCTGCTCTGCTCTGCCGCATCCTGATAGGGTCTGTGGGCCACAGGTACCTGCCCTGTTAGCTGGGAAGTGGCAAACCCAGCTTCTGGATTTTTCTAGAAGCATAAGTATATTCCTATGGTCCTTTTGCTGTAAATGCTGTCCCTGAGATCCAAGTGACTGTGCCAGTGCTTCTTTGTGGCTGTCTACCTAACTGGACACTTAAACACACTCCGAAACTGCAGGCCCCTTCCCTGCTCCTGACGCCTTCAGGGCCCTGCCTTCCATCCACGTTTCCATCAGGTATTTTGTCTTTGCTTGGTATTTTATCCTGTGTCCTTCCTAACCCTAGCCCATTGGCCCTACAGGGACAACAGAACTGTCCCTCACCATTATGGCAGTGGCTGGGTCCACAGCAGGCGTTCACTGAATGCCAGATGCCTGAGACTCAGAGTTCAAGGCCTGCTCCCTGGCCTGTAGCATGGGAGAAGGAGGAGAAAGGCTGAGACAGGAGGGAAGACACCGAGAGCTTCATAGGGAAGACGGAGGTGGTTCAAAGTGTGCCCGTCAGAGCTACCTACCCCCTTTGCTGCATTTCTTCTGGCTCCTCAGCCAGCCTCTCAGCCCTGACTCGGGCCCCACCCCCTTCCTTGGTCCCTCTCTACAGTCCACCCACTCCACACAGAAGGCTGAGTGTGTGGTGACTAGTCCAGGGAGCGAGGAGAGACCTCAGGAGCCTTGTGGGGAAGGGCTTGAGGGCCCTCAGCCTTGCTTCCTCTCCTGATGATCCCACTCTTGAAGCTCTTTGTGTCCATGAGGGTCACAGCTAAGCTGCCGTGACAAGTACCACAGGATGGTTGGTCAAAACCTTTCCTGGACCTTAGCGTTTCCACCTCCTTAAAGCCCCACCCCTTAAAGACAGATGCCACGCCCACTTTCCAGTTGTAGTTCACGCTGGCGCCAGGGAAGTCTAGGGTACCACTCAAGGCCTTGCCCGTTCCTGGATGAGCATTCTGCCCCCGGACCACACTGAGATTAACCACTCTAAAGTGAATTCTTTTAGTGACATTTTGTGCACTTACCAGCTCAGCCTAGTTGCAAAGCTTCATACGTGCCCATGGAGTTGCTTCACAATCTCCTACTGTCCTGCTCTGTGCACTCTGCCCAGAGGTTTGCCTAGGCTCTCTCCACGCTCACCAGCCTGCCCTGCGCAGCCTTTTCCCTGCCAGATAGCATTCCATATGTGGGCAGGCCACATTTTACCAGCGAAACCACCATCTCAAACCGTCCTCCATGGCTGTACTTTTGGATTATCTCCCCCTGTTGGTGGATGTGGGCAACGCAGCCATGAACATGTGTGTTTAGGAATTGTTCACACTTGCTATAAATTCTATAGGCCACTGCTCTGTGTGTGGGGGTGGGGTGGTGATTTTTTTGTTTGTTTGTTTTGGTTTTTAGTTTTTCAAGACAGGGTTTCTTGATGTAGCCCTGGGTGTCCTGGAACTTGTTTTGTAGACCAGGTCAGCTTTGAGCTCACAGAGATCCACATGTCTCTGACTCCCAGGTGCTAAGATTAAAGATGTATGCCACACTGCCCAGCCACTGCTGTGTTTTAAAAGGGGTGGGTAGATAAAATCAGACTCTTTGAGGCCTCAGTTCTCTATTTACTCCTCAGCCTCCTGCTGTCTTCCTCACTGTACTTCCTTGTCCAGGAAGAACTGGAGGCAGATTCAAGGTACTTATCACTTGTACAGGCCTTGCCTGCTCACTCCAAGGACCTGGGTCTTCTCTCTGATCATGACTGTACCTCTGACGGAAACAACTTAGGGAGGAAGGGGTTCTTTTTGGCTCTTGGTTTCAGTGTTCAGTCCATCGTAGCAGGGGTGTGTGTGTGTGTGTGTGTGTGTGTGTGTGTGTGTGTGTGTGAGAGAGAGAG